GATAGATGATATATCAGTGAAATGATGCCAGAATTATTATATTTATATACTAGCGTATCTTGACGCAATATTGTAATGCATTACATTTAAAAGTAACTTTCCCCAACACTCTTCTGTACCGAAATGAATGAGGGGAGGGGCTAAAAACAAGAGGTCTTAATGATGTCATATGTAAAGCCATTTCATTGGAAGAGCAAAAGTTGAAAGTTTATTCAAAAAATACATACCCTTTTTTTTTCGAAAATCATTCACAATATGACTAAAATATGCATTTATGAATGTAAAAAGTGTTAACTTTGAATTCATGTTGAACTAATCTGAATGAACTGGGCTTTCAACTGCCTGCACCAACACATGGCTAATGCAAATACATAACATATACACATCATAAACCATAGACTGAATCTAGGTCATCCTTTTCTCAGACATACTGTAAATAGAAGGGCAAGAAGGTCTGGACCTGTGGAACAAATCAGTATGTGGTATAGAGTGACTCCGCCACATTTACGAGTGTAGGACACTGCGTGTGTGTGTTTTCCCCATAACTCCAACAAAATTTTCCCTAAAAACATCCGGTCATGTCCTCAAATGTGAAATGATTAATGAAGAAAGAACATAATGTTTTTTTTAAAAATCATTCTAAAACTGTAAAATGTGTTTTGAGATTTGGGTTTGTGTTAGTCATTTTGATTATCCTCATATGAAAACAACAGTAGTCTACAGTATGTCTTCATTTAGCTTATTAAATATGTGTAATGAGAGTACTTTTTGCCATCATCTAGTACTAACTAAAAGGGATAGATGATATATCAGTGAAATGATGCCAGAATTATTATATTTATATACTAGCGTATCTCTTTAAATATATATATATATATATATATATATATAAGATAGATCTCTTTAAAATATATAAAATACTATCCATAACATAAAATAATTTTTTTTGTGTCCGTATTGGTCAGAATTGGAGTATTTTGCATCCCCTTTGTGTGTTTAAATTGCCTGTAAACCACTGAGCTACAGACATATCTCTGCTTTTCTGACATCTTTTCTGTTTAAATATCACACCGAAACCATCAGCTTTTCTCTCTGTTTGCACCATTTTCCACCTGTCTTCTTTTATTCTTGTAAAACAACACCAACACCCCTCCCCTCTTTCCGCCCTCTTTCCTTCTGGACCTGGAGTCAAAAGTAATTTATACCGACTGACAGCTCCTGACAAACAGAGTGTGAGAGAGAGAGAACGACAGAGAGGGGAAGAGTAGAAAGATAGAAGGGAAAGAAAAAGGGGATTGGCTTGGTGGAGGTGAAAAGATGAAGTGTAGGTGTTGTTGGGTCACAATATGAGATTAGGAAATATATGAGAGTGAGTCAATAAAAGTTGACTCTGATTGGATGAGTATTAAAAGTATTAAAAAGTATTAACTATTAAAACTAACACACACACACACACACACACACAAACTTCTTCAATGTTAAATGGCATTGTATGTTTTCTGAAAGAAAAAAAGTTTACACTTAGCCCTCTAGTGGTTGAAGCATAAATCTACACGTTACTTGCGGAGGAATATTGTTTAGGTATTTACGTGAGTCGTGCATCGGCTCTGCTATTCTGCGCACATTAATCTCATGGCTAGAAGTGCGCAGCTGTGTCCATGGTTACAGATAAACTTTATCAGTGCAAATGTCACCAACGACATCAAAACCTAACCATAACAACATCTTGGCCAACGAAAGTTGGATCTACGAAAAATGTCATACAGGCAGGTAGTTAGCTCATTATGCCACTGATGTTTTGACTTCAAATCAGTTGATTTAATATAAAATTACAAAGCTTTGGTAACGTTAATCATTAGACACTTAGCTTATCAGGTGGAAATGATAACTTGGCAAGAATATTTATAGACAAACAGACCAAAGTAGTAACTGGTTTATAGGCTAGCATTGTTACCAACATAAACATTGTTTTATGAAACTAGTCAATGCAAATGAGATGAGCAAACTATGTTGATTCAGGTTTTATTACGGGTAACATTACAGTTGCTTTTCCTTTTTGCTTTTTGGTTCGAGGTTCAGTTTTGTGGCTTCAATCTACTTCCACTGCATATAGTAGTAACCTGCCCATCTTTCCTTTATTTATGGATATGATGTAAACACGCATCTATGAATGATGAAAGTATGCAGATTCTGTGGAAATCTGTCCCAACAGCTCGAACATATAAATAATTATTATAGGCTTACCATAGGGTAAGGCAAAACACAGTTTGAAAGATGTTTATGTGATGTAATTGCTTGTTTAAATTGTGTTAATTTCGAATAAAAAAGTACATAGTTTCTTTTATACTAAATGCCAGTAAAACCTCTTGCTTGGACCTACAGAATTCAGAGCCTGGCTGAGATGAACTGAACAGACAGATAAACACAAAGCAAATGAGTACATGGGATTATCCAAGGCCACTTGCCTCCATTTAGAAGAGGAATGGCATGATCAGGCTGGAGAGAGAGAGAGAGTATCTGAAATGATTAAAGATAAGTTTCCCCCGGCCTGAACGCTCATTGCCCCTTATTTCTCCCACAAGGTCTCTGGACTCATCCGTTCCTTCCCTGTGGTGCCGAGAGCCGCTGCTGCGCCAGAGCAATAATTCAAAAACACAGAACCAGAGAGAAGACCCGGAGACTGATTTTGAGTACAAAGTTGCTATGGAAAGAGAAGGAAATAGAAAAATGCATGGGAATCAATGGTGAAATGACCAAGGTCATGGGTTCAGTTCAGAGAGAACACCTTGAATGCACTGCAAAAGTGACAACGTAAATATGGAAATATAAGTGATCAAAATCAGTAAACACTGGATTGCGTGAGATGATTCCCTGTGGCCAGAGAAAGCTAATTTCCCCCAGCTTCAAAATCCCTTTCTGCCATCGGATGCGGCCTGTTTTCTGAAACATCAGTGCTGTAGAGCAGCCCGTTTAAATGAGTCAGAAATATTTAACAGCAATCAGAGCTCACAGAGCCACCGGCAACCAAAACACTCAACGAAAACATTATCATATATGCAAATGATTCTCTCTCTCTTTCTTGCTCTGTTCTTGTTGTTCTTTACTTGACCTCTTTTATTTTCTTTCTCTGCTGCTTTTTATCCAACTCTCAGTGGGTGAATCTCAGGAAAGCTGTTGGGAAAATGTTATGGCCTTAACGATTTGTTGCATTGTGACAATATTTTCATGACAGTTAAGCACATTTAAACCCCGCCTCCCCAGCTGTCGGTAGCAGCTCAGGCTCATTGGAAATACGTGACTACATTTTTGCGATACCGGAAATATGTTGCTCTTGGTACATTTCACTGCACTTTTCAGGTGACACATCCACAAGTGGTGCTATAAGCAATATCATTGTTTTCTATATTGCAATTTTCTAGGTTTTTTAAACAGCCTAGTGTAATGAAAAAACATGCATTCTGCAAAACGATGTTGCGATTGTTTGTAGCATGTTTTTCACACAAGTGCAACGTTTTACCAGGTGAGGTACTGAGCAAGTTTACTACATCAGAAAAGCCATACATATAGAGCTGGTTAAGTGATGCAAATGTCAAAATGTATTAGTTTACAAATAATTCACTATGGTAGAAGCGTTTTTAGGTTGTGACATTGTGCAAGGAATCTGGTAAAAAATAAGTCTTTATAAAAAATTTGCCCCTGTAATCATAATATGATGATTTTAATTTAAAATTGTGTTGGCTGACTTTATAGACACTCCTCTCTTTATTTTTTATGTATTTTATTAATTATTTTTTTATTTATATTGTCTTTATTTTATTTTATTTATTCTATTCATTAAAATTGTTGTAGTTGTGATTTATGTATTATTCTATTCCAATTATATGTTAATGCTTGGTATATTATTTTACTGAAATGACGATAATATTGCAGAATTTTAATTGCGGAATTTGTGGCAAATGGGTCTGTTATCCGTGCTTTATTCTGTGTAGAAAAAAAGTTAAAGACATTTAAAAACAATTATGTATTATATTTAGTTTTAGTAAGGATGTATTACACTCTAAAAAATGCTGGGTTAAAATTTAACCCAGCGCTGGGTTAAAAAGGGACAAACCCAGCTATTGGTTTTTTTTGACCCAGCGGTTGGGTTCAAAACAACCCAACCGCTGGGTTTGTCCCTTTTTAACCCAGCGCTGGGTTATATTTAACCCAGCATTTTTTAGAGTGTAGTATTGTATTTTACATTATAATGAATATTGGGAGGAATGCATTTAGTTATCATGAAAATTGTCACAATGCAAAAATATATTGATATATCTACGGTACTCAAAACTTATTTATCTTATATAAATAAAAAAGCTAATAAATTCTGCAATTTTTCACAAACTACTGTACAGCAACTACAGACTTGAGATTGAGTTCAAACATGTAAATACATATATATTCTAAATTGCTAATTACAAACGTCTACCAACGTTTTTTTGGTTCTTTTGGGGTATGACATTTTCTACAATCTTCTACATTCAACAAATATTCTATATTTGGCTGAGATTCACCCAAATTTTTTTGCTTTTCCAAGATAAGATCTATCAATTCACTCTCTCCTCAGTCCATATTTCTGGATTCACTTTTCCGTCGTTCCTTCCTCTCCATGATCCCTCCGTTCCGTTAATCCCCTGCTGCTTCCTGTCCATCATCTCAGCCAAACCCTAAAAGAGCGCTACATGTGCCACACACACACACACACACACACAGATCTGTGACCTGCTGTCTCAGTAAACACTGCTGCAGTCATCTGTTGAACCACAAGATTTTGTTTTCAAAGATAGAAAGAGAAAAACGCAATAGATAACTGACACACAAAAAAATGATAGCAGGTTGTGGAGACAGTGACAGCAGGAAAACATATGGCAAAGTGGAGGCAGAAACAGAGGGAAATGACAGGAATATTTTTGAATTGGTCTTCCTCACTCCTCTGTCATCCACTGTCACTTTTTCTTTTTCTTTTTCTGAGGAGAACTGCTTCAGAGCCTCCAGTGAAAACACATACATATAGAGATATATCTATAACAATCATATACATATATCAATATACAGTATGCCTGTTTTCATAAACAGCGTATGGGTAAGCTGATGGATTCAGATTCTACGCTTCAGAAGCATTTCCTCCGTTGTAGGAAGCTGATCTGTTGCATTCTGAGACGTGTGCATCTGCACCACGCGTCCACATGGAGAAAGACAGACAGAGAGGGAGCTTAGATAGGTGCTTTGGGAGCTGGATTAGGTGTGCTGTTCTGTCTTTTCGTGTGTGTGCGTGTGTGAGCGTTCTGCGTTATTGTGTGTGAAAAACTGAGGGGCTGTAATTCTGAGACCCTCTTTCTCTCTTTGTGTGTGAGTGTGTGGTAGATGATAGATGATAGAACTGAGAAGAAGAGGCCCCAAAGAAGCCAGAACCAGAGGAAAATGTGTTGATGTTGCTCAGAGGTTGCTCTTTTATTGCTCAGGAGTTATCTCACTTGGGTTTCTTTGAGTAGCAACTTTGTGTCAGATGTTTCTCCTGAAATTTCTTTGGAGAAACAAACAGAAGCTAAACTAATATTGTGGATAGCGTAGCTCTGATCATTTAGATTTGGATTAGAATGAGTTTGAGTTCATACTAAAATTGCAGACTTTGGTGTCTTGGTCATAACAGATGATAGTTTGAGGCAATGTTGAGATCTCTGTTGAACCTCTCCTCAAGAGAAGCACCCATTTTAACTGGAGACTGTGGTCTAGAAGAAAGAATGGAGATGTTCGAGAGATCTCATTTGTGATTTCCCTTTCCTATGGGGTCTGCGAGTATGTTTGCCAGCGAGAGAGAAGCAGAGAGCGTGTGTGAACGAGAGAGAATATCTGATCAAAAGTGCCCAATTTGAGAAACAGCTGCATGTTCACACACAGAATAGAGTTCAGCAGATCAGATCAGACCTGTTAGTTTGAGATATTTGAAAAGAAAAAAAAAAAAAATCTGCAATGTTGCTCATTCTAATCTAGATGTTAAGATTAGCACATGCATCTTTAAAAGGGCCAACACATTGTATTTATGACAAAACCTTTTATTATTAAAGTGTCCATGTTACGTATATTACAGTTATGTAAAAATAATGAAATTATTAATAAATGTCATTATATTAATTAATCATTATATATAATTTATATTTTATGTATCTATATATTTAGACTTAGAGCTACAGTATATATTCCAATTAACATTTATGTATTCAGAACTGTCAGCAAAAATAGTTGGGTGACAATGCGTGGCATATATTTTGACCCAAAAGTATATAGTTATAGTTTACATTTATATATTCAGACATATTATACTTTTATTACTTATCAATAACTGTCACATGAACATCTTAGCAGAATCTTTAATCATAATCTTTTTTCGACTGAAAATGGGAGTTTATGACAGTATGTTTGGTGTTTTGTCACAGGGGACAGAACTGAGCAGAAGCAAGACACCTTGATTGTGAAAACAAAAGCGTCAGGAGGACTAAAGAACAACAGATATTCCTTTGAGAGAACAGAACGGTGTAAAACACTGAGAATGACTTGTGGAATACCTCCGAGCTGTAGCGTGAGGCATCTCTTCCTCGCTGGCATCACGCAATGTTCAGTGGGACAAAGATCCCGAATAAGGCTTGATTCCAACAGTGTCATTTCTTCAGGCTTCTGAATTGGAATTCTACCAAGTGTTGTTTTTGTTTTGTTTTTCTCGGGCCACGAAACAGTTTGTCTCAGGGTTAGATCCTCGAACCTGGAGTCTCTCCAAAGGGGAGGAATCTTGCTCGCTCTCACTCTCTCCCTGTAGTGATGACAACGGCGAGCACATTGTGTGCTGAAGTGGCGTGGAAAGCTCTCCGTCTTGTTCCCTGATGAGGGCTGCTTTCCCTGTATCAGCTTGCTGTTTAGGAGCCGGACAACAAGTCAGCATTTAACCTGCTCTAAACTTGGAGACAGAACTCTTTGCTCAGCAAACTTGCTTTCTTGGTTCACATTAACTAAACTCCGCTGGTTTAATTGTCTCCAGTGGCGCTGTTGCATTCTGGGATACGCATTGTGGGATTACTCAAAGAGGATCATGGCTGCCTCACACCTGTTTTTGAATGTGTTGACTGCCGTTTTACTGTTGAGCTACGTTTCTTACGGTCAACAATCCAACACTGCCAGCACAGGTGAGCAAACCACAAATCGGACGGCTGCTCCGTCTGGTGCCCCGGAGGTCACACTCGCGACCCCGGGGTCAGACGCAGATGAAACCCCGTCGGCTGGGAGCCGCTGTTGGGGTTACTACGATGTAATGGGCCAGTGGGATCCTCCGTTTAACTGTAATGCAGGAATCTACCTGTTCTGCTGTGGCTCCTGCTACTACCGATTTTGCTGCCAGTTCAAGGTTCACAGTCTGGACCAGACGTCTTGTTCCAATTACGACACGCCGGTGTGGGCCAACACAGGCAAGCCGGCGGCTCCGGTGACCGATGTCCAGGAGGAACCGGATCGAGACCGCACTCACATGATCGTGTACATAATATGTGGAGTGGTGGCCATCATGGTGCTGGTTGGGATCTTCACCAAATTGGGCCTGGAAAAAAGTCAAGGAGGACAGACGGACATGACAAACTCCAGGTGAGTGGGAGTGAGGATGACTTCATTGCTTAGAGGTCGCTTGTCAATTAAATTCTCAGAGATGTCTCATTTAAGTATCAACTTTGCATTAGATTTTGCTTCTTACAATTACTGAAGAGACTTAAAAATGAGAATTCATTAAATGTATGGAACTGTAAAGATCAAACCTTTTGAGCTGAGTTTTTATTGTAGACTTTTGCATCTTGGCAAATCTGAGCACTGTTTGAGTTTTCTTCAGAAACTGTAGAGGAAACACATGTGAGCAGAATAATCTGCTAAGTAGGAGAGTTAGACTAAAGTCTCTATTTGTTTGTCTGTAATTGCAGACTAGCTCTGTACAACCATAGAACCATTTTGAGTTCCACAAAGACATTTTTGTCATCTTCATTCTTAAAAATAAAGTTTTTATTTCTTTTTTACATTCATATGGTTCCATGAAGAACCATAAGAGCTGTTTCTTGTTGGCTTGTTGGAGGTTCTGCAGATTATTGAAACGTTCTTGACACTGAGAAAGAAAAAAATGGTTCTTTTAGGAACTATTTACTCAAATGTTCTTTGGGGAACAATTCTTCTATGGCATTGCTGTGAAACCTGTGGAACGTTTATTCTTTAGAAAGCTATATATATGTTTATGCTTTGAAGAACTCAGAAACCAAAACTCCAATCTGAAGAACCTATAATGTAACATCAAGATCTTGTTTTAACCTCAAAAAATGATAGGCTAAATCCAGCTCAAGAACCTTATATAGTTTTTTAAGAACCTTATATTATCATTGATGAGACAAAAGATCTTGAATATTAAGGTGTTGCAAAGAACCAACGAAGACTTAAAGTGGGGACCAAACAACTGAGACCACTAGTGAAAAAGCTACTATATGATTACAGATTATATTGTTAGAATAACAAGTAGAAACAATATCTTAGTACTTTGTATATTCTTTATTGATAGGAGTTCTCAAGCTGCATAAATTCCTCGAGCTCACATGTTCTCCAGCATAATTTAAGACAACCCTGAGAGCATATTTGTGCTCCAGTGGAAGAAAGAACATCTTACCATCTGTACAAAGAGTCACATAATCAGTATCACAAATTTGCTTATTTGATTAGTAACCTAGAAATAGTGCAGAATCTAAAATAATTGTTCATTTTTTTATGGAAACTTTAATTGTTTCACACATTTCAAAATCCAAAACTTTTCTAGCTTTTAAACTCCGTTTTCAGTTTTTCAGTGCAGTTTCAGACTTCTGCGCCCTACTGTATTTCTAAGATCATACATTCATGTTGATTTCTCAAAGCTCAGCTTTTGTTTGAGTGGAACTGTACAGTACTAGCTGCGATCAGTTCAAAAGAAGAAGCACAATGAAACATTTATATTTTTGTACTCCTCTATTATGTGTTCCGACTATATGACGTTTGTGAAAAAAAAAGAAAAGAAAAGAAAGCTATTTTAATGCACTCAACACCATCATAATGTAAATAAAGTTGACACTTTGGTCTCTCTTCAGCATGGGGAAGCGTAGCGCTGTCCTCCAGGGGCGGGAAGAGTGGGACGTCAGTCCAGCTATCTGTTTCTCATCCGTAATGTGGCATGGCAGACAGACACCACCATGATTTAATGAGGGCTATTGATAAGTGCTGGAAGCATGCCATGCCCGAGATAGAAAGCGCGCGCGTGTGCGAGAGAACGAATGATAGACTATCCGTCGTCTACTGATTTTAGCGGGTGGGTAAAAACAAATCTCTTACGCTTTGTGACGGAATAAAAAAGTCACATGGCAGAGATGCATTTCTAAATGTATGAAAATTTATAAGAGTTTATTTTGGTAAAGATATGTGTGAAATGAACACAATGACAAAGGCAGTTTTAGAAGGGCAAGCTTGTGAAGTGTATAGCCAGCTTGTTAATTTAACACGATTTATCATAGGAAAGCTTAATGAGGCTCAATAAATGGGTGCCAAAAGTAGTGAATAGTGTGTGTCATAATGGTGCAACTAAACATACCCAGTGTCTGTTGGGACGAAATACAGAGGCACATTGAGGAGAGAAAGAGAGAGATTCTATTGACCAGCTCTGAGAAATCCAATGAGGCCAACATGACTGGATTCATCCAACACAAACATGGGCCAGTGTAGAGACCAACGTGCTCGCACACACATACACAAAACCCATCCTATGCCACTGACCTTATAAAATCACAGGGTCAGAACAGTGACTAATGACTGGTGAAATGTCTAGAAACCGAAATGACGTGCTTCATTTGAGTGTGCGAATGCATGTGCGTGCTGAGCAAACCGACCGTGCCGGCTTGAGACGTTCAGGTTTTATGTTTTTGTGCATAATCTGACCTTTAATAATTAACTTTGGTGTATTTGAAGGGCATATCGCGTTTCAGTGCATTTGCAAACTGTGTGTTCGCTGGTGTGGGTTTGTTTTTCATGTGTAAAATCAATTCAGTTCAGCATGAAATGGTGCTTTTTCGCCACTACTCGAGTGATGGTTGGACTGTGCGAACGCTCTGCTTTCTACTTGCATTATTTTTATGTGCGTGCTTGACAAGTCTCTTGGTCAGACATGCCAAGTTTTACTAAGACAAAGTTAGTAAACGGAGAGCCAGAGAGTCTTTGAGAGAGCATTTGTGTGCTTACGAAGTAAACATCGTACATCTGTGCTCAGTGCCTTTATTACATGATCATCCAGTCAATAATGGAAGTGGCTCTGTAATGTTTTTTTAATGTCTAAAATGTGTGAGCATGCAAATAAAGCTTCACATTGAGAGGCTGGGAGAAAAGAAAGAGCACATGAAGGACAAAAGTAAGGGCAGAAACTCGTAACTCGTAAAGTTTTCAATGAGTGTGTCCTCAGTAAACACCAAGATGCCTGCTTTCTAATACATGCGCCATGTTGCCAGGAGTTAGCAATAATAGCAAATATTTGTCAATTTGAAAAAATAGTTACCAGTGGGCTATGTTGCAATGCTTTCGAAGATGAACTTCACCTTCAGCCTCCATGTCCTGGTCAAAATCTCTGTTTCCACCAGGTCGAAGTAAATGGTTCAAGGTTTGTCTGGTTAGCACGGTCCAGTTAACCCCTGGTGGTTGATGTCATAATTACACTATCTGGTTCTGAAGTGCGTCTTCAATTCAAAAGTAGCTGTGCATAAATTTGTGAGTGACATATAAATCACAGATAATTCATCATATTATCGTATATGCTTTTCCATTGGCCAGTTTTTGGAGGGCTCATAAAGCCTACTGTATCATTTAATACACAAATTTCTAAGGCCTCTAAATTATAAACATGATTAAAAAATGCTGAAAAACCTATTGCGCACAATTTACTACATGCCTTCAGTCATTTGAATGATAGCTTATACTTCTTTGGCAAGTAAAAAACCTATTAGTACAATTCTAAAAACGACGAGGTCATGGTTGCCGTGTCTATTTGAAATCTTTACTGGTTTTTATAATGTAAACGTAAAAATAACTGTAATTTTTTACACTTTTCAAGAAGAACATTTACTGGACTGAAGCAACGTAGGTTTACATGATTATCCATACATCATTTTGATACAAATCATTAAAATGTGAATTTCAAATTTGACACATTAGGCTTTTGAGGAATGCTGAACACAAAAGAAGATATTTTGAAGAATTTTGAAGAACCAAACATTTGCTGGTCCCCACTGACTTCCATAGTAGGGAAAGACATACTATGGAAGACAATGGGGACCATCGACTATTTGATTACCAGCATTCTTCAAAATATCTTCTTTTATGTTCAACATACAAAAGAAACTCATACAGGTTTGGAATGCCATGAGGGTGAGTAATTGATGACAAATTTTCATTTTTGGGTGAACTATCCCTTTAAATATCATCTTAGTAAGACATATTATTGGGAGATATAGAGCAACAACTTAAGTTTAAATGCATTTTATGTAAGTAGTCTGCTTTAAATATAATTGATTACAAGCTATCAGAATTTCATCTTATTTTTTTGACCATATAAGTATTATCAGCTGCATCAAATTGCATATTTTTGCTTAGTTCAGGCCTCCAAGCTTTCTCATTCTTGAGTATGAACTTCATATTTTCCTATATGAGCCATAAAAGCCCGATGTATCAAATATGATACTTAACAAAAAACACACATGCAAAATAAACTGTTCCATCTCAAAATTATGTATAGGGTTTAATAGGGTTTATAGGGATAAGAGCCCTCCAAAATTAACAAATAGATCTCTCATGTATGTGTGCATTTGAGGAGCTTGTGGTTAATTTTACGGATAAACCTCACCACAGATTTCTCTTTCTCTGATTTCATAGAGTTTGTTTGCTAGTCTATATTCAGCTTTACTGGCCAGCAGACAGGGTCCACAGAATACAGTGGTGCCCATTAAAAATGCATTACGACTTCTGATAGAGCTGATTCCCAAAGCTGGCACTGGGACTATTAATGCGCTAGACAAACAAACTGAGCTCCACAGTGAGTCCACCAAGGCGAGCAGAAACCAGCGGGAGACGTCTCACAGGTCCTTCTATACAAACCTCATGAATACACTGAAACCGGCTGCACTTCACTTAGCCACAGGTCAAAGACTCCCGGGTGTTTTTCACAGCTTTTCAAAAGGAAAGAAAGGGCAGAAATGATGAGAACTGATGCAGAATGACTCTTGACACATTTGGCAGTGTAATGAGAAAGAAATGAATCTTGAAGTGCAAAAAAACACAAAAAGCGGGCTCAGAAAAAAAAAGAAAAGAAATTTAATCTATAAAATTGTTACATATTTGCTTCCTCACAAAAGCTGAAATTAATGGTAAAATTAATGGAATATGTATATAAATAAAATTCTGAAGCCTTGATTCCTCCATTATCTGTAATGCTAAACATATTTCCACCTCCTGAGGAGTTTGCTAATTACTCTGCCCATTCGTAAATTTCCATCAACAACAAATCATGCATATGCTAATACATCTCTTTACCTTTTTATGAACTTTCT